AAACAAAGCAGTTTTGCCATCTTTATTGGTAGCATTGACATCAGCACCACACTCGATTAGTTTTTCGACCATTTTTACGCTTTCTTTGTTTATAGCATGAAACAGAGCAGTTTGGCCATATTCATCAACTGCATTGACGTCAGCACCACACTGGATTAGTTTTTCCACTATTTTATCATTTTCTTTCTTTACTGCATAAAACAAAGGCGTTGCCCCATGTATATTGGTCACATTAATATCAGCACCGGACTGCATTAGTTTTTCCACTATTTTTTCATTTTCTTTCCTTACAGCATGAAACAAAGCTGTTTGGCGATATTCATCGACTGCATTAAGATCAGCACCACACTGGATTAGTGTTTCCACTATTTTATCATTTTCTTTCTTTACAGCATAAAACAAAGGCGTTGCCCCATGTATATTGGTCACATTAATATCAGCAGCGGACTGCATTAGCTTTTCGACTATTTTTTCATTTTCTTTCCTTACAGCATAAAACAAAGCGTTTTTTCCATCTTTATTGATTGCATTGACATCAGCACCAGACTGGATTAGTTTTTCGACCATTTTTTTATTTTCTTTCTCTACAGCATAAAACAAAGCAGTTTGTCCATATTCATCGGCAGCATTGACAAAAGCACCACACTCGATTAGTTTTTCCAATATTCTTTCATTATCTTTCTCTACAGCATAAAACAAAGCGTTTTTTCCATCTTTATTGATTGCATTGACATCAGCACCACACTCAATTAGTTTTTTCACCATCTCCTCACTTTCTTTCTGTACAGCATGAAACAAAACAGTGTTGCCATCTTTATTGGCTACATTGATATCAGCACCAGACTGGACCAGTTTTTCCACTATTTTTTCATTTTCTTTCTCTATAGCATAAAACAAAGCAGTTCTGCCACTTTCGTCGGTAACATTGACACCAGCAAAACACTGGATTAGTTTTTCTACCAATCCTTCTTGTCCATTCTCAATAGCGTCAAATAGAGTTTTGTTAAATTCGTCATCACTGCAGTCAGTAATCTCTTCTGCCATATTGCAGTTTTCAAGAATCGGCGGTGACAGTGAGTAATTTTGATATCTTGCTCAGATTTTGTTGATGTGAAGTGATACACGGCACATTTGCATTAGTTGTGAGCACATATTCTTTTCCTTGTCGATGTGATGTTGCACATGTAGTTTGTAGTTCAGATGATAGTACTTGTATTCAAACCTGTCGTCAAACAAAACAACCAGACATTTTCTCATTCATTATATTCATTTCGTAATCATTGTCAAATCCTGCAATCTGATTGGTTAAAGATGATGCACTTTTTCTTCAATTTGCACTATTTTTCTCGACATTCAAATTGAGCCAATCATAAAAGATACATCATAGTGTCAACTTTCTGACCAGTCATATCAATGAAACAAGCTTAAGAAATCCAGAAATCCTGAGTGTTGAACTCGGCACGTTTTTGGTGAAAACAACCGGGGGAAAAAGACGCCTTGGGAAAAACGTTTTTTAAGAGCACTTTTTTTAAACCTTTTTGGAGCACTTTTTAGCGTAAAAAGCAGTAAAAAATATTTTAATAAACCAGCTAAACTGAAATATTTGAACACTGATTCCCTGCTGGCAGAGGCTCCTTTTTTCTCCTTTGTTTTCGGGGAGAGGGAGAAAAATAGAAGCATCTGCCCCAATCCGTGAAATTATTTCATCTAACCGCCGTCCATAAATGTGGACGAAAAAACCGGTTTTGAAATCGTTTTTTTTTAGTTGAACAACTCTACGTATGACAACCGGAAAGTCTGCTGTATTGAGCCCGCAATACTAGTGAGCATATCCTTTTACGATAACTACTGACTATTAATGAGCCCACTCTTTCAAATTTCATTAGTAGCCTAGTAACGCTCACACATGCGCAACAGAAAAGGTGACGGTTGGGGACAGAGTTATGTAAAGCCGTTCCTGCCAAAAGTCATTGAGATTTGACACTATACGTCGAGATGTTCACCGACAAGTTGAATTTTAAAAATGTCTATAGCGTTCCGGACTAGTGGTGTTTAGATCTCGACGAGTTTTCCCTAAATTCTCGACGAGTTTTGTTGTTGCACAGGAAGCGCAAAATTAGTTTCATCTGTAATCAACAGACTTCTTCAGGGAGTTTACAATTGAGTAATATTACAACAGTTTTTATGGACTATTAGTCTATTTTATGGAATATTTACGGGAAATTACAAAACATACAAACGTGTTGTAGCAGGAAAGCAATTTCCTAATTTATGTTGTTTTATACTTTTTGGGGCGCATGGTTAGCGGTACAACGTGTTTGTATGTTTTGTAATTTCCTGTAAATAGTCCATATAAACTGTTGTGATAATACTCGACGTATAGTGTCAACTGAATGACTTTTGGACTTTTTATTCTTTGCGTACATATTTACGGTGTTCAACTTATCTATAGAGAAAAAATATCGCTCTGGGATCCTCACGAATACCCTACATTTCATATTCTGGCTGCGTTACCAGCGTGGTTGGTCCTTGTAGTGTAGTGGTTAACACATCGGACTAGAATACCGAAGACGTGGGTTCGAATCCTGCCAAGGGCATTTGATATTTTTCTCTTATTCTCTCTACTTCATTATATATACACCGAACGCATAATTTATTACTACTATACTATGACTTTTGGCAGTAACGGCTTTCCATACAGAGTCTCCTTTTCCTCGCAAATGAAGATCCAGCAAAAGAAAAAGAAAAGGAGTCTGTCATCAGGAATGAACACTGAATACGAGCATATTAAGTAAACTATTACCATCATTAATCGAGCTGCTTGGCGCCATCTTCCTAGAATATCATCTTATTATAGTGAGGGATACAGCTTTACTCATTCAGAATCTATTAGACTATTACACTTGTGTTACCCTATAAAAACATAAAACAAATACCGTTATTGACTTGCTTGGCTGCTTGCTAGCTCTGTGGTTTTCTTTCGCTGCTTGCGCGCATCCTTACTTGGTTACTTTCTTGCCTTTTTAATTTAAGATGGAACCAAACTAATTCAGAGCGAATTTTGGACAATTTTATTCTCGCTCCCTTCGCAAAACTAGTATGTCAATTTAACTGGATTTTTCATATAATGTGCTTGGATTATCCTAGATTCTTCAAAACGGCTCCAAAATTTTTCTTTAAACTTCCTACATCAATAGACCAGAGCTTTATCTAGATGGTAGTGAAATTTCTACAACTCGTCCTATCCACATTTTGGAGAAAACATTTTTTAAAGTGAGGTGTACCTAAAGAGCTCACCCCGCTAGAAATAACTAATTCAATATCGGTCGACAACAACGCTCTCGGACATTCCACAATGTTCAATGACATTCTCATACTCATTAATAATTCATGAGTAAACCAGCCAATCAATGGCTATTTGGTCACATGATGTTACTTGAAATCTGGTAAAGTGCTGTGAAAGGAATGCATTCAGTCTGGAGTAACTGGAACAAAATTAATTCAGTCCTATGACTGAATTAATTTTGTTCCAGTTACTCCAAGCCGAATAATTAATGAGATGAGAAGTCATTTCAAAGCCTCCAATATCGGACTGGACGGGATTTCAAGTCCGCGCAATTAGTTCCAGTCCTAGGCTGCGCCTCGGACTGGAACTAATTGCTTTGACTTGAAATCCCGTCCAGTACTCATTGTCGGCTTTGAAATATTACTTGAAGATGTCGTTATGCAAATATTCTCCCGAACTTAACTGTGTGGAACGACCGAGAGCTCTTTAGGTACACCTCACTTTAAAAAACGTTTTCTCCAAAATTTGGACAGGACGAGCTGTAGAAATTTCATTACCATCTAGATAAAGCTCTGGTCTATTGATGTAGGAAGTTTAAAGAAAAAACTTGGAGCCGTTTTGAAGAAAATTGCGAAAATGTGATTTTTAGCAAATCTCTCATTTTTGAGGTTTACAACGACATTTAGTAAAAAAACATTTATTCGATGAGTTTTTAGGTTTTGATACTGATTTTTCGTAAGGATCATCCACAATAGTTGGAAATAGATATGTGAAAACTTCAAGGCAATCCATTCAATGGTAATGTTTCTACAGCGCGATGTCTTTTATGCTTCAAATTTTGGATCGAATTTTCAAGTGGCGTCATAACTTTTTTTCTGCCCAAGACTTTCCATCCAAATTTATACACAAGCTGCAATAGTACTAGGTGATAAGATTCTGAAAATTTCAGAAAAATCGTACTTAGGATGAGGAGAAAAAGAACAAAAACTAAAAATAGCACTGAATCCAGGAAATTGTTGTTCTATACTCAAGCCGTTGAACGCCTTGGAATAGATTTAAGCCTTCATTTTGCGTTCATTTTATAATGAAGTTTTCATGATCCTTTCGATTTCATTTCTACACATAAAAACAGACAGCTTACCAAAATAATAGTGGCCTTGATGAGCACTAACTTAGTTCAGTTGCATCAGATTTTGCATCAAGCATAAATTCCTCGAAGTGAAAGTACTCAAGTTGTGTACTTAAGTGAACGCCTTGGAATAGATTTGAGCCTTCGTTTCGCGGTTATAATGGAGTATTCAGGATCTTTTCGATATCGTTTCTACATTGGGACAGACAGTCTTACCAAAGAGTGGTTTTTACGAGCACTAACTTGGTCTAGTTGCATCAGATTTTGCATCAACGCATTAATTCCTCGATGAAGTGAAAGTGCTTAGTTGCAATATCATCTGCCTGACCCAAGCCGCAGCAGACGGCGACACTAGAGAAAAACGTTTGCGCATGCGTGCATTTCAGCACGTTTTCTAAGAATTTTGAAGAGTTTGAGTGAGACAATAAATGTTTGTTTTCTCCAAGTATACAAAAAAGTTCGAGAGTCATACTTTGTCAGACCAAGATACTGTATTAACAAACAGAATATCAAAGAGTTGGCCTTAAGTTTCAAGCACGGACACTAAGTTTTGCGTGGCATTTTGTAAAGTCCAATTTATCAGGCATGTTTGAAAGTCACATTTACTTATGTTTTGACTAATTTGCATACGGATTCAGAGCATGCGCAGACGTTTTTCACTCGTGTCGTAGACGGCAATTGTGAAAAAGCGTTATTATGGATGCAGGCAAATGAGATGCAACTGATTCAACAAGCATTGTATCTGTCCGATAGCCTCGCTTGTTTAATTTCTTAGAGATTAAAAAACCTCTTAGAGATTGCTCAATATATTTCTGTTTTCACCCTAAGCCGTATTAAATAAACACCGTAGTTTGGTAGATAGGCAGACAGAAATTAGAGAAAGCATTAAGTGCGTGGCTATCGTATGTATTGATGAAGGACATGCACTGCATTGTGATCATGAAATAGTAACGAAAAAAATAATTTCAAAAAGGGAGAATTAAGCTTATTGATAAATATTGAATATTTTTTCAATATTTTTATGTATTACTTTTTTCTCGTGTTATTACTATCCATATATTCTTTTTTTGTTTTTGCTTGTTTGTTTGTTTGTTTGTTTGTTTGTTTTGAATTTCTTTCCGCTTATTTTATAGTCTCCCAACCCTCTGAACATTCAAACGATACCATGTCAATCAAAGCCCCCCCCCAACCTAATGAATATTGATGAGGTGCCGAGTTTTACAAGTCTTGCTCGCATTACAAAGCCATCTTAACCGGAAATGCGCTATTTGAATCCGAGTTTGCAACGAAAAAATAAATAAATAGCGAGAGACACTTGGAGCAAGTGAAGGTGATGTCTGAAGAGATCGAGTTATGCGCTTCCAATTACGCGCTTTTTAGTAACGCACTCGACCACTCCTAAATTTGACGTTGTTACACAGTGCGCGTAACTCCATGTCACTAAGAAAGTTGTGTGAGTTCGAGTTACGCGGTAGGCGAGTAACTTCACTGCAGAAAGAGATCTTCTGTAGTTCGAGTTACGGGTTACGCTCTAATGAATAAATAATACTCGAACTTTGGAAATTTGCATTAAAATGTTTTCTTTTGCTTCAAACTTATAACAAAAACCTGCAAACCCTATCAAACTCGAATATCGCGTAACTCGAGCTCACACAACTTTCTTGATGACATGGAGTTACGCGCATTACGTCACAACGTCAAATATGGCTGTGGTCGAGCGCGTAACTCGAAAAGCGCATAACTCGAAACGCATAACTTGAAGCGCGTAACTCGATGAATACCCGTCCTCTGTCTGAATGATGATTAAGGTAGTAACGATAACCATAATATTAATGCGTGATAGTGATGACCAAAACGGAGAATCAGGTTAGGGAAATTAATGCTCAAAACTACTTGCGTGTTCTATAGTCAGTCATTAGCATTTATTTCGTAATCTCTTTCCCAGACCCCACGTTCCTTTCTCTCTCCACCGCGATATGATCGTTCGACTATTTTGATAACTTTTAATAATGGCATAATGTTTTCTTTTAGAAAATTCCACCCAAAATAACCAAAGATAAAGAAACCCATCCCAAGAAAGCAGTAACCATAGCAACTGGAGTCTTACAAATCAAGGTCAAAGATCAACCTTCAGCCACGTCACGTGTACCAGCAGTGAAGGTTACTCATGGCCTGCCAACTACTGATAAGGTAGGACAAGACTTTTAGTCATAGCCTGCGATGCTTTGTGGTCAGCGGTTGTTGCGAAGAAATAAAATGAAAGAATAACTGCTTGAGGGTTTAATAATAATAATAATAATAATAATAGCTTTAATTAATCTTGAATGGCAAATTATCACATAGAAATTTGAAAAACTGAGAGATTACAAAAACATATAGATATAGATATTTAGTAAAAATACACAGGTGATTATAGAAAATCTCGCGCGCTGATTGGTCGAGAAACTCACACTATCACACGATAATCACCTCCAGCGATAATCCAAAATGGCGGCCAGCCGCTTCGTTGCTGTTACCGGAAAAAATGTCTTTTATCTTCTTCTTTTTTTTTTTTATTACCTTTTTTTTCGAAAGAATCACCTTCAGCGAATAATTGTTAAATATAAGTATATACAATAATATACAAAGATTTACATGTGTAAAATTACGATGCGTTTGTCGAATTGTATATTATGTGTATGTGATAATGATATCTAAAGTCAAAGTGATGCGTCCCATTTCCTCTCTTCTCCCACATGCGCGCACTTAACTTATCGGAATAACCGCAGACAGCCAAGATCGCAGGCTATATTTAGGAACTGTTTAATTTCCATAAACTCGGCCTGCCACAGGAACCCCAATTTCAAGATATACAGAGATATAAGAGTTACTTGAAGTGAAGGATTATAGACTTTTGCATAATTCCTTGTGTGACTCAACACAATGGCTTCAAACAGCCAAGTAACACAGGCTATATTTAGGTACTGCTTAATTTCCATAAACTCGGCCTGCCACAGGAACCCCAATTTCAAGATATACAGAGTTACTTGAAGTGAAGGAGTATAGACTTTTGCATAATTCTCTTGAGTGACTCAACACAATGGCTTCAAGTCGATGTTGGAATTGATAAAATATAAGWGTAATATAAATGAAATGTACTCATCAAGTCCGACCTGGACTTGGAACCTTTGTTTCGTCGACACTCAAGTGAATTCGGAAAASGATGCTCGAGTTATAATTCATTAGGTATTGGAATTTCTTCCTATTTAATAAGATGTTTACTATGTTTTATTATTGTTAGACTTTTCACAATATCTTGGATTCCACTGCTCCTGTCTTCAAGAGAGGAAAAGAAAGAGAAACACCCAAGAAGAAAAAACCAAGCCAAATGAAAAGGGTGAACAAAACTTACCCTCCTCCAAACGTAGCACCCTCTCCCCCCTAAGTTTTTACTGAAAAAGGTTAACAAAATGAAGTCAAAACTTACCCTCCCTACCCTCCTTCAAACGTAGCANCAAACGTAGCACCCTCTCCCCCCTAAGTTTTTACTGAAAAAGGTTAACAAAATGAAGTCAAAACTTACCCTCCCTACCCTCCTTCAAACGTAGCACCCTCTCCCCCCTAAGTTTTTACTGAAAAGGTTAACAAAATGAAGTCAAAACTTACCCTCCCTACCCTCCTTCAAACGTAGCACCCTCTCCCCCCTAAGTTTTTACTGAAAAGGGTTAACAAAATGAAGTCAAAACTTACCCTCCCTACCCTCCTTCAAACGTAGCACCCTCTCCCCCCTAAGTTTTTACTGAAAAAGGTTAACAAAATGAAGTCAAAACTTACCCTCCCTACCCTC